CCCTGAAACCCTGCAAACCACCTCACAGATCATCTCACCCACTGAAAAGCTTCCCACACCAGCAGAATGCTCGCCAAGAAAGGGACAAGAAAATGAACTGAAGAAAGTGAGCTTCAAGGCAATGTACACTAACATAGATGGAATTACTAATAAAACAAGTGAACTCGGAGAATGGGCACTAGAAGAAAACGCAGACATAATAGCACTCACAGAAACAAAGCTAACAAACACCATAACAAACGCAGTGTTTCCACAGGGCTACTATGTAGTGAGGAAAGAGAGAGAAGGGAGAGGAGGAGGTGGTGTAGCTTTGCTACTAAGAGAAGGTTGGAGTTTCGAAGAGATGGTAATTCAGAACTGTGAAGGTTTCAGTGACTACATATCAGGCACCATAGCAACTGGGGGACAGAAAATTATAGTAGTAGTCATATATAACCCCCCACCGAATGTCAGAAGACCCAGACAGGAATATGATAGAAACAACTTGGCCACCATCAATATAATAGAGAGAGCAGCTTCTGAGGCTAGCAGGAACGGATCCAGGCTACTAATCATAGGAGACTTCAACCATGGAAAGATAGATTGGGGGAACAGAGACCCACATGGAGGCCCAGACACATGGAGAGCTAAGCTGCTGGATGTGGTAACAAGAAACTTTCTAAGTCAACACGTCAAGGGACCGACAAGAACGAGAGGAGGGGATGAACCAGCCTTGCTTGATCTGATATTTACCCTAAATGAGTCGGATATAAGGGAAGTTAAGTTGGAAGCCCCCTTGGGAATGAGTGATCATAGTGTATTGAGCTTTGAGTACCTGGTTGAGCTAGGAATTATCACCCCCAAAAAAGAACTGGGAAACAAAGGGCTGGCGTACCGAAAGGGAAACTACGAGGAGATGAATAAATTCCTATGGGATATACATTGGGACACAGAACTCGGAACCAAGTCTGTACAAGACATGATGGACTATGTCACCCAAAAATGTCAGGAGGCTGTAAGCAGGTTTGTCCCAGCCCGACAGGAAAAAACAGAGAAGCAAAGGAAGAATCCGTGGTTTAATAGGGAATGTATGAAAGCAAAGGAGCTGAACAAAAGGGCATGGAGGAACTTCCGTAATAACAGAACACCAGAAAGTAGAGAGAGATACCAGAGAACCAGGAACGAGTATGTTAGTGTGAGAAGAGCAGCTGAGAAAAGGTATGAAAATGATATAGCTAATAAAGCCAGGACCGAACCAAAGCTACTACACAGTCACATCAGGAGGAAGACAACAGTGAAGGAACAGGTGATGAAACTTAGGGTGGGCGAGGACAGGTACACAGAGAATGACAAAGAGGTGTGTGAAGAACTCAACAAAAGGTTCCAGGAGGTCTTTACAATAGAACAGGGAGAAGTCACGGTGCTAGGAGAGGTGGCAGCAAACCAGGTGACCATGGCAAGGTTCGAAATTACAAGAGATGAGGTCAAGAAGCACCTATTGGAGCTGGATGTGAGAAAAGCTGTTGGGCCGGATGGAATCTCACCATGGGTATTGAAAGAGTGTGCAGGAGCACTTAGCTTGCCACTCTCCATAGTGTATAGTAGGTCACTGAAAACGGGAGACCTACCAGAAGTATGGAAGACTGCTAATGTAGTACCAATATTTAAAAAGGGTGACAGACAAGAGGCACTGAACTACAGGCCAGTGTCCTTAACTTGTATACCATGCAAGGTGATGGAGAAGATTGTGAGAAAAAACCTAGTAACACATCTGGAGAGAAGAGACTTCGTGACAACCCATCAACATGGGTTCAGGGAGGGTAAATCTTGCCTTACAGGCTTGATAGAATTCTATGATCAGGTGACAAAGATTAAGCAAGAAAGAGAAGGATGGGCGGACTGCATTTTTTTGGACTGTCGGAAAGCCTTTGACACAGTACCCCATAAAAGGTTGATGCATAAGCTGGAAAAACAGGCAGGAGTAACTGGTAGCGCGCTCCAGTGGATAAGGGAGTACCTAAGCAATAGGAAGCAGAGAGTTATAGTGAGGGGTGAGACCTCAGAATGGCGGGAAGTCACCAGTGGAGTCCCACAGGGCTCTGTGCTTGGACCTATCCTGTTTCTGTTATACGTAAATGATCTCCCAGAGGGTATAGACTCATTCCTCTCAATGTTTGCTGACGACGCCAAAATTATGAGAAGGATTAAGACAGAGGAGGACAGCTTGAGGCTTCAAGAAGACCTGGACAAGCTGCAGGAATGGTCGAACAATTGGATGTTAGAGTTTAACCCAAGCAAATGTAATGTAATGAAGATAGGTGTAGGGAGCAGGAGACCAGATACAAGGTACCATCTGGGAGATGAAATACTTCAAGAGTCAGAGAAAGAAAAAGACTTAGGGGTTGATATCACGCCAGACCTGTCTCCTGCAGCCCATATCAAGAAGATAAGATCAGCGGCATATGCCAGGCTGACCAACATTAGAACGGCATTCAGAAACTTGTATAAGGAATCATTCAGAACTTTGTATACTACATATGTCAGACCAATGCTGGAGTATGCAGCCCCAGCATGGAGTCTATATCTAGTTAAGGATAAGACCAAGCTGGAAAAGGTTCAAAGGTTTGCCACCAGACTAGTACTCGAGCTGAGAGGTATGAGCTACGAGAAGAGACTACGGGAATTAAACCTCACTTCGTTGGAAGACAGAAGAGTTAGGGGGTCAAGATCACTACATTCAAGATTCTCAGAGGAATTGATAGGGTAGATAAAGACAGTCTATTAAACACAAGGGGCACACGCACTAGGGAACACAGGTGGAAACTGAGCGCCCAAATGAGCCATAGAGATATTAGAAAGAACTTTTTTAGTGTCTGAGTGGTTGACAAATGGAATGCATTAGGAAGTGATGTGGTGGAGGCTGACTCCATACACAGTTTCAAGTGTAGATATGATAGAGCCCAATAGGCTCAGGAACCTGTACACCTGTTGATTGACGATTGAGAGGCGGGACCAAAGAGCCAGAGCTCAATCCCCACAAGCACAATGAGGTGAGTACAATTAGGTGATTATAGTCATGAGTGTAAAGGAACAGGTTATGAAATTAAGGATAGGGGCAGAAGAATTCACTACAACCGAGCAGGAAGTGTGTGAGGAACTGAATAAAAAATTCCAGGTCTTCACCTTAGAGCAAGGAGAAATTCCAGAGATAAGAGACGGTTTTTAACCAGGAACCGCTAGAAGAGTTTGAGATTATCAGCGGGGAAGTAAAGAAGTTGTTACTAGTGTTGGATGTGACAAAGGCTGTAGGCCCAGATGGAATCTCCCCTTGGATACTAAAGGAAGGAGCAGAAGCACTGTGCTTGTCACTCTCCATAGTGTATAACAAATCACTGGCAACAGGGAAACTGCCAGAAATTTGGAAAGCAGCTAATGGTAGTCCTGATATACAAGAAGGGCGATAGACAAGAGGCAGTGAACTACAGGTCAGTGTCCCAAACCTGCATACCATGCAAGTTGATGGAGAAGATTGTGCAGAGAAAGCTAGTGGAACATCTGGAGGGAAGGAACTTTGTAACACAGCATCAACATGGGTTCAGGGATGACAAGTACTACCTCACCGGGTTAATTGAATTCTACGACCAGGCAACAAAAATCAGGCAAGAAAGAGAAGAGTGGGCAGACTGTATATTTTTGGATTGCCAGAAAGCCTTTAATTAATACAGTACCACACAAAAGGCTAGTGAAAAAAATGAAGATGCAGGCTGGAGTGAGAGGGAAGGTACTCCATTTGGTAAAGGAGTACCTAAGCAACAGAAGGCAACAAGTCACTGTAAGGGGTGAGGTCTCAGATTGGCGAGACATCACAAGTGGACTCCTGCAGGGTTCAGTTCTTTGACCTATACTGTTTCTCATATAAGTAAATGATCTCCCAGAGGGAAAAGACTAATTTCTCTCTATGTTTGCTGATGATGCAAAAATTATGAGGAGGATTGAAAGACAGGAGGATAATAGGAGGCTACAAGATGACCTAGACAGACTGAATGAATGGTCCAACAAATGGCTACTAAAATTCAACCCGAATAAATGCAAAGTAATGATACTAGGCGGTGGAAACAAGAATCCAGACTACGGATACAGAACAGGAAATTAAGTACTTCATTAAACAGACAGAGAGAAATATCTAGGAGTTGATATCACACCAAACCTGTCTCCAGAAGCCCAAATAAACAGAATTGCGTCTTCGGCAAATGCGAGGCTGGCTAACATCAGAACAGCCTTAAGGAACCTGTGTAAGGAATCATTCAGAATCTTGTATACCACATACCACGGCCCCATCATGGAGCCCGTACCTTGTCAAGCACAAGACGAATATGGAAAAAGTTCAGAGGAATACCACTAGACTAGTCCCAGAACTAAGAGGCATGAGTTACGAGGAAAGGCTGCGGGAAATGCACCTTACGACACTGGAAGACAGAAGAGTAAGGGGAGACATGATCGCAACCTTCAAAATCCTATGCGAACAAGGGGAACACAGGTGGAAACTGAATACCCAAATGAGCCACAGGGACGTTATAAAAAACTTGTTCAGTGTCAGAGTAGTTAACAGGTGGAATGCATTAGGCAGTGATGTGGTGGAGGCTGACTCCATACACAGTTTTAAATGTAGATATGATAGAGCCCAGTAGGCTCAAGAATCTGTACACCAGTTGATTGACGGTTGAGAAGTGGGACCAAAGAACAAAAGCTCAACCTCTGCAAGCACAAATAGGTGAGTACACACAGTCGTGTTGTGACCATCGTGGTGGATGGACGTTGGGTTGGGAGCTCCTGGGTCACTAGTGAAGTGGGAGGAATAGTCAGGCTACTAAAAGTGTATACAAGTGAATGAAAAACTTGGATTTTGACTAAAACCATAAGGTTGTGAAGAAAAACAGTAGAAATAGCATAATTGAAAATAGGTGTTGAATGCATTGTGGCAGTGTGAAGAGTGGAGCAGACCTAACACTGTGATCTCACAGCTTCAAAATCTGACCGACGTGACCTCACAGCTTCAAAATCTGACCGACGTGACCTCACAGCTTCAAAGTCTGACCGACGTGACCTCACAGCTTCAAAGACTGACCGACGTGACCTCGCAGCTTCAAAATCTGACCGACGTGACATCACAGCTTCAAAGTCTGTCCGACGTGACCTCACAGCTTCAAATTCTGACCGACGTGACCTCACCCAGGCAGGAACCCTTTCTACACCACGTGTAAGGAGACGATTGGAGACTCGCTAAAGGAAAGGACTCGCTCACCTATATAGCAGGTCGGTAAGGTACTTGGAACGTCTGTGGGTAAGGGTGGTTACAGCAATGACTAGGTCAGGAAGGGCGTCTAGGTCCAGCAGTATTATGATTGAAAAAGAGAAGAGAAGTCTTGTGGAGAAGATGATAGGGAACTTTGTAGAGAAGAGGAATGTTTGGATAGAGAATCTAATCCAAGGGATTAAAAGTGAGGTCTTTGAAAAAATACATGACGAGATTCAAAGACAAATACATGACGAGATTCAAAGACAACAACAAGAGCTTATGGACTTTTTTAAGGAAGAAATCAGAAAGAGCAGGGTAGCATGGGAAAGTAACATAACTAGGCTTGCAAGTGAATTTGGCAGGAATAAGGGAAGCATGGCAAGGAAAGGGGGAGTAGTGGGGGATGGAGTAGCGAGTGTGGGAAGGATGGGGAATGTCGAGGGGAGGGGCGACCAGCATGACAGTGCCTCACTGAGGAGGAGGTCAATGATACTTCATGGATTACTCGAAGCCAACGCACCATTGAGGCAGGAAAGGATTGAGATTGAAGATTTTGAGTTACAGAAGATCTTGAGAGATATTAGAGCTGAGATAAAAGGGAATGAGATGGTAATCCACCGCTGCATTGGACCTTACAACTGTAACAAGAAACGACCTGTCCTGGTACAGTTCACTAACGAAAAGGCAGTGGATTACATAATGCAACACAAACATTTACTCACAGGTAGGGAAAACTATTACAACGTGTATATTGACATATACATGACAAAAGATGAACAGATAGCCCACAGGGGGAGCCGATCTGCATGACACACCTCCTCCCATCTGGGCGTAGTTACCCATCCCACTCGTGCTAACCAGCTCACACCTGCTGACCAGGTCACACCCTCCCCAAATCAGCCCTCCCATCACCTGCCGCGGCTTATCTCCTCAACACCTTCCCTGACCCCTCTGACCCCATTGCATTCAAATTCATCTTCTTTATCCCAAATTCCAAGGACTCCTTCATCCCCTCAACCCCCCAAACCCGCCTAGCCCTCATCCCTCTCAATCCCCAAAACCCGCCAAGCCCTCATTCCTCCTCTGCCCCTCTCCTTCCATGTGACCCCCTCTCCTTGTGAGGGGGTCACATGGACCCGCTGGGGGGGACGGGGAGACACCCTCACCTCATCTTCCATTTCCCTCTTCCCCCCTTCTGCCCCAATACCCACACCTACCCCTGAGTTCCCCCTGACTAATACAACCTCTCTCACACTCTCACTATCCATGCTCCATCCTCCCTTCTTCCCCCCACCCCTCTATCCTTCTTCCCCCAATCTCTGAGCCTTTATCTGACTCTCAACCTCAAACTACCTCTCACCCCTCCCCCATGTCTATCAGACCCTCACTAATCTTCAGACCCAGTATGCCCTTCCTACTCCGGACCTACCTACCCAGGCCCTACCCCAGACCTTCCTACCTACCTTCCTAGATGCCCAGCCCCCATTCGCTCCCCAAGCACCCCTTCAGACCCCATTCACCCCCCAGACACCCCCCTGTGGGTATGGAAACTGCCAGAGTTTCCATAAACGATCTCAAGGTTTGGGACATCAATGCTGATAGGTTATCTAATAAAGCAGATGAGATAAAAGAAAGAGTTAGTGAGGCAGATCCTGAAATAGTTGCAATAGTGGAAACTAAAATAAACGACATGATCTCAGATGCAATCGTTCCAGAGGGGTACCAGGTGATAAGAAAAGAGAGGACACAGAGACAGGGAGGGGGAGTAGCACTCCTAATAAAGCGGAAATGGAAGTGTGAAGACCTGGGAAATCTAAGTACCAATGAGAGCACAAGCTCCATACATGGAACTCTGACAGCAGATGGGAGGAAGATTGTAATCTTGGTAATCAACAATCCCCCACCAAACAGTTGAAGATCCAGGCAGGAGTATGATGACAAAAACAAGGCATGTATAGATGAACTGCAGAAGGCAGCAACACTAGCTCACAGAATGAGAGCGAAACTGCTGGTCATGGGGGACCTAAGTCACAGAGAGATAAATTGGGAGTCAAGGAATCCCCCATGGAGGGGACGAAACGGGGGGAGGAAAGTTAGTAGATGTTATAGACAGGAATTCCCTAACACAACATGTGAAGAAAGACACACGGGAAAGAGGAGGAGATGCACCGAGCCTATTAGACCTGGTTTTTACATAGCACGTAGAAGACATCGAGAATTTGGAACATGAAATACCTTTAAGGGCCAGCGACCATTGTGTCCTAGTCTTTGACTACATGATGGAATTCCAACTTGTGACCAAGGGACAAGAGGTCTGGGAAAGAGAGTTGACTACAGGAATGGAACTACAGGAGGATAAGGGACTATCTGGGAGAAGTGCAGTGGGAAGAAATTAGAGGAAAAACAGTCCAAGATTTGATGGACTTAGTCATAAGGAAATGCCAGGAGGCCAATGAGAGATTTATACCAACAGTAAAGGAAAAAAGTAAGAGGGAATATAATGAGAATATAATAATGGTTTAATAGAGTGTTAGAAAGCAAAACTGGCCAGCAGGCGGGAGTGGAGGAAATACAGAAGACAATGGACAGAGGACAACAGGATCAGATGCAACAAAGCTAGGAACGATGACATTAACATAAGAACATCGGAAAGAAACTATGAAAACGATATTGCGATCCAAGCGAGAAAGCAGCCTAAATTACTACACAGCCATATAAGAAAAAAAAAAAAAGGTCGGTGAACGACCAAGTGAAAAGACGATGGAAACCAGAAGGGGCATATACAGAAAGTGACAACGAAATCTGCGAGGTACTGAATGCAAGTACCATGGAGTGTTCACAACCGAGCCTGAGCAGCTCCAATTGTTAGAAGAGATTACCCTAGATGAAAGACTATCAGATATAGAGGTGACAGCAGAGGAGGTAATGAAACAGTTGACAACACTGGATGCAACTAAAGAGGTTGGACCAGACAAAGTATCACCGTAGATACTAAAATAGGCAGCACAGGCCCTCAGCATGCCACTGGCTAGGATCTACACTTTAGCGGCCCCAGCCCGCCAGCCCTCAACTAGGTCCAGTGGGTCCCAGCGTTTCACGGGAGCGCGCGGTAGTTCTGAAAAGTGTATACTCTCTTCAACTTTGTCACCTCAATTCTCGTCCAGGCTTTTTCAATTTGGTACCATTGTGTTCGCAGTAGAATTCTCTACACGACTAAAGACATATAAACTCCAACAGCACGGCGTACCATGCACAACAAACAGAGAAAGTGAGTGCGCGTGTTACCCGGGAGCGCATAAGAGCGATAAAATATGTACACTCCTTTCACGTTTGTCACCTCAATTCCCGTCCTAGGTTTTTCATTTTGGTAACATTGTGTTCGCAATAAAATTCCCTACAGGAGTATATGCAAATATAAAGTCCAAAAGCCAGGCGTACCACCCTCAGCAAACAGAGAAAGTAGTGACGGAGCATAATCCCAGTGGGCGCTAATAAAATGGTATACTGTTTTCAACTTTGTTACCTCAATTCTGGTCCTAGGTCTTTCATTTTGTATTCAATGTATTCGCAATGAAATTCCCTACAAGAGTATATGCATATAGTATCCAAAACCGCTGTGCGCCCCTCCAGAGCCGCCGCCAATCTACCGCCGAAAATGACGCAATGCTGCATCGTTCCCGGGCGAAAGTGATAATTAATAAATCACTTAAGTCGGGAGAATTGCCCAATTGCTGGAAGAGGGCAAATATTGTACCGATTTTCAAGAAAGGTGATAGGGAGGAGGCACTTAACTATAGACCTGTATCACTGACAAACATCCCCTGTAAAATACTGGAAAGAATAATTAGGCTACGACTGGTTGCCTACCTGAAGAACGTTAGGTTTGTAAACAAACATTTACATGGGTTCTGGAAAGGGAAATCTTGCCTAACAAACCTTTTGGAATTCTAAGGTAAAATAGCGATGATAAGACACAACAGAGTAGGTTGGGCACACTGCATATTTCTAGACTGCCAAAAAGTCTTTGATACAATAATGCACATAAGACTGGTATTCAAACTCTGGAGGCAGGCAGGGGTGAGAGGAAAGTCCCTAGCATTGATAAGGAACTACTTACCAGGACGGAGCCAAAGAGTTATGGTAAGGGGCAAGAAGTCGGACTGGCGAACAGCAACGAGTGGAGTACCTCAAGGATCGGTGATAGGACCAATTCTATTTCTAATATTTATTAACTAGATGTTTACAGGAGTAGAGTCCTACATGTCAATGTTCGTAGATAATGCAAATTTGATGAGAAGAGTTGTGACAGATGAGGATTATAGGATCCTCAAAGAGGATTTGAACAGGTTGCAGAGATGGTCAGAGAAATGGGTACTGGAGTTCAACACGAGCAAATGTAAAGTTATCGAAATGGGACTAGGTGATAGAAGACCAAAGGGACAGCACAAAATGAAGGGAAACTGCCTACCTGTGACGACGCGAGAAAGAGTCCTGAGCGTGAACGTTCCACCTAATCTATCTCCTGAGGCACATATAAAAAGGATAACGACAGCAGAGTACTCTTCACTGGCAAAAGTTAGAACATCATTCAGAAACCTAAGTAAGGAGGCATTTAGGGTGCTTTACTGCCTACGTGAGGGTCAGTCTTAGAGTATGCCGCCTCATCATGGAGTCCCCATCTGAAGAAGCATATAAGGAAACTGGAAAAGATTTAGAAGTTTGCAATGAGACTCGTCCCAGAGTAACGAGGGATGGGGTATGAAAAACGCCTGAAGGAACTGTGCCTTACGACAGTAGAATGAAGGGAGAGGGGTGATATGATTGGAATGTATAAAATAATCAGGGGGATTGACAGAGTGGACATAGACGAAATGTTCACACGGAATAGTAACAGAACGAGGGGACATGGGTGGAAGCTGGAAACTCAGATGAGAAACAGAGATGTTAGGAAGTCTTCTTTTAGTGTCAGAGTAGTGGAAAAATGGAAT